TACTTTTTTAGCATATTGTTGTGTTGTTTGTTTATTATATTATAACTTAGTACTTTTTTAACGCATTTAAGATATGCAACACTAAGCTGTCTGTGGCTCTTTCCTCCTGTAACGGTGCAAATTTCCCCTCTGTGGGACTAATAAAGGTATTCTGATTCTGAAGACTTAAGCAATGCCAACCTATCAAACAATTTCAACCCACAGGGAGATTTTTGGGCCAATCGTGTGCCTATATTCTCAAGTCTGTGACGATTCTAACAGAAATTCAAATCTGCCGTTTTGAGTACACCATGTCCGACATTATTCCTGCCCGCGCATCCTGCATTTATGTGATGGCCACCGGCAGTGTCTGTTATGACCTACTCTCAGAGAGTCCTCAGAGACATGATAGTTTTAATGGGTCCAACTTCATTTTTGATAAGATGCACCCAATTAACAAAGGAGAGGCTCTGAACTGAGCAATTAAACAATGTGTTTAAGGAGATAATGATGACTCACAATAGGACTTTGGTATGACACCGTGTCACAAATGTTAACCACTAAACATAACCTTGATGCCATTATAAACTACATGGTTTAACTACAAGTGCCAGTTAAGGATATTTTTAGTTTCAGACCTCGTTTTATTATTCAGGTAAGATTAGCGGAGTTTTGTGCATTCTACCTATGTGTGGGTCACTATGGCAAAATAAAATATGAGTATAGTTTTAAATTGAGAGGTCTGAATGAAAAATAGTCCAAACCTAATTACTGTATATAAATCAGTAATAAATATAGTATTTGCAACCTTTGTTTTAGTAGGAATTATAAGCACCTTTTTTCTATACAGACACTTAACTTCTTAAAAATACTAACTTTAAAAATATACTACATGGGATATGAATGCTTGGGGGAGTAGAAATATATACCAAGGGAAAACATGGATACTCAGATAGTAAATGTAAAAAAAAGTGGTGGCCCAAATGAACAATTTTCTTCTAATTCCCTGAACATTCTACTAAACTAGCAAAGGTAAAACATTGTTCTTGCTCCTGAGATGGTTTGAAAGTCCTGCATGATTTTTGGTTGTTGGCTGGTCGCAGAATCCAGATCTAAGACCGACAGAGGTTATTGGAGACTCACCTGCCTCCTCTGCAGAGTACAGGTCCCTCCAGTACATCCTGTGTTTGTAGTCATCCTTGGGGGCATAGAGGTACGTGTTCAAACCCCACTTCTGTTCTCTATGAAACACCAGTAATGAACAATCACAGTATTAAATCAATTATTACATGATAAGAGATGATTGTAAGTAGCATCAGGAGACAACAAATGTGTGTCTTAACATTGATTGTCCAGTGTTGTCCCCTGTACCCAAATAAACCCATCAGTAAGGGACAACGTCCAATATGAAGCCCTTTTTATTACAGGCTTTGTTTTTTGCAACCTTTAGTTTTGTTTGCTGCAGTTGTACTCATATATCCCATACCTTTTAAACAGCTCTGTTCTCTGCTCCATAGTCCATGGCCGCCCATAAAAACCTGTATAAAGCAAAGGTCAAGTTAAGCACCAAACCTTACCAGAAGTGATCAATATAATACTGATACTCATTTATTAAATATATATGAAATTCATTCTGTTAAAGCCTCATGATGCTGTACTGTATTGTTATTGGGGTGGTCCTGTGTGGCCCCCTGGTGCCAGTCTGCTTACCTTCCACCACCCCACTGATGAACCGCTTCCCCCCGGTGTTGGCTCGCCCCTGCCCCACGCCACTGCCCGGTGTAGACATGTTTTCAGTTTAATGTTGAGTTGTGTCTACTTCCAGCTCACTAATGCTCAGACAGCAGCTCCAGCACTGACAGCGCTATTATCATATGTTTGTGTACCAGTTTTTGCTTTTATTGCACCGTTCTCTCACGCCTGCGCAGAGCAGTCGATTTAAATCGTCTGCAACATGGTCTAAAGTCTGTAGTTGTAAATGCTGCGAGCAAATAATTAAAAATAAGCTCTTCTTGTTTTGTGATGACTGTAGTTCACCACAGCAGGCGCGTGCGGGACTGAACGTGACTACCGGGTGAACGTCTTAAAGGGACAGTGTCCCTGTAGTTTATGCGAACATTCACCTGAAACAAAGGGAGCAGGATAAATAAGTAAATACATTTAGCTAAACTAAATATTCTGAGCAAATGTAGTGTTCGTCTTGCCATCCTCTAGTGCTGTAAAACATATGTTAATGTTGATGAGTCCACTTGTTGATATTTGTCCACTTAATTTCCTCATAATGTACATTTACATTATGTCACATTATATGTGACTACTATTCACCAGAAAATAATCCAGTGATTTATGTAGAAGCAGCCATTCATTTTATTGAATATTAAATAAACTACTATTTAGGCTTAAGTCTCATCTTTAAGGATCTCCATTTTATATTTAATGGTGTTTTGAGAGATAACTCTACTAGTAATCATCAATTGTTTGAAAAATGTCAAACTTGAATTTGCACCTGTTTAAAATTCTATAAACTAAAAAAGTTCAGGGAATGTAGGGTTAGTTATGTGTTTTGGGGCGATAAAATATAATTACAACAGTATTGTACGGTTATGAATGCATAATTATTAATAAGTGAGTTAAAACAATATTGGATGATAGTCATTATTTTTGAGTTTTTTGGACTGTGATAAATTGAACGGTAACAGCTTTCGAACACAACACAAATAATATGGATTACAGTAAATGCATAGATGTAACTCATTACATAAACAATGGCTCTGTTTCAATTAGGTGTGCTAAATAGCCATGTTAATAACAAGTGGGGACCCACGGGCCCTGGAAGTGGAAATTAATTGGCGTATAATTAAGGTTACGTTTATGTGATTAGTTACAGCTGTTTGGATGATTCATTACGTCTGCCACGAGAAAGGGTTATTTAAAATGCAGACATGTTAAACCATGACCTGATAAAAAATGTGACGCTCTGATAAAATGTTGAATATACTTCCAAGGAAGTGGCATTTATATTTCCGACATCAACGTTGCGTGGAAGTCGGAAACAGTACCGAAGGAGTGGCAGACCGGGGTGGTGGTTCCCCTTTTCAAAAAGGGGGATCAGAGGGTGTGTGCCAATTACAGAGGCATCACATTACTCAGCCTCCCCGGGAAAGTTTACTCTAAAAAAGGTACTTGAAAGGAGGGTCAGGCCGATTGTCGAAACCTCAGATTGAGGAGCAACAATGCGGATTCCGTCCTGGTCGTGGAACGACGGATCAGCTTTTTACTCTTGCAAGGATCCTGGAGGGGGCCTAGGAGTACGCTTATCCGGTCTACATGTGTTTTGTAGACTTGGAGAAGGCGTATGACCGGGATCCCAGGGAGTTACTGTGGGAGGTGCTGCAGGAGTATGGGGTGAGGGGGTCTCTACTCAGGGCCATCTAATCTCTGTACTCCCAAAGCGAGAGCTGTGTCCGGGTCCTCGGCAGTAAGTCGGACCCATTTCAGGTGAGGGTTGGCCTCCGCCAAGGCT